CCTTCGGGATGGCATTTTATGTCTAGTGGGTAGTGGGATATTTTAGAATCGTTTGGAAGGATCACTCACAATAAGTGAAGGGAGGGCTTGCAGATAATGCATGCTGGTGATTTTGCATTCTTCTGTCATCATATGATCACAAGAATGTGACTCGAAAGGTGAAACATCTTTTTAGCATGGATAATATCTTGTTAAGTGGAGATTATTCTGCACATGTTAGCTTTTTGGCTGGATATTGTGTCTTGAAATCTTGGAATTAGTTAAGAAAGAGAGATTGAACGGGAGTTTGTCCTTGTATTTCAATTTAATTTCTTGGTCTGAACAATCTTTGTGGCATGGCTAATAGTTCGAAACTTCGAAAGGATTATAGTGATACTAAAGAATGATATTTCAGTACCACGGAAGATTAGTCTAATTGTTCAAAGATAAAGATGATGGATTCCTCTCTGCAGAATTAATAACCATGTAAAAATTCTAAAATTGAAGCAATCACTTCGATCTTGTGATCTGGAACAATCTCACATAAAGTTTGACCTAGCTGTGTGTGATGTCATTGGTTCCTAGCCTCATTATCTTACTCTAAATTCTTTAGTTAATGAGACTCTTTCAAGAGAAGCATGGAGAATAAGAATCTGAACTGTTCTTTCTTGAATCAGCTATGTCCATTGAAGGTTTAATGTTGATGTTTCGATTGAGAGACATTGTTTGGACAAGAGCAGTCTCTGGGAAACTATATAATTGCGATATGATCTGATAAGCTATATTAGTGTCTTAAATCAGCTTTGGACAAGATAGAGAGGTATATATATGATCTGACAAGTTACAAGCCTTTGTTACGGAGTAGGAAAAATTTCATCTTATTTGCGATGCAGCTAAATCTCGAGACTGCTTTATCTGTATATATGGTAGAATGACTTCAAATTGTGATTGGTTGACGGATCTATTTGATGGAAAATATCAATCTGCAGTTGAATATTAAAGTTTGTCTTTCGGTCGGAGAAAATTAAAGTATTAACTGTTGGTTGAACAAACTTCAGCTGGGGTGGTGTTTTATTAATCTTCTTGTCATTTTGCTCTTTGTTCATTGGAATTTATGGAAAAAGGATTTGAAAAGAGTGTTTTTTTGCGTTATGCTAGTTGATTTCTGCTGGAATTTCAGTTTTTCTTTTTTGTCAGAAAGATATACTAGTGCTTTAAAATGGATCGGATAATCAATACCTTTAAGTGACTATAAACTTATGGTACGGCAGTCCAAAATACTTGTTGGTTTAGAAAGTCCGTTTGCATGTAAGAGTGCTGTTAATCCAGTAAATTCTGATATTGTAGCTAAGAAAATAATTTCTAATGCTTAGTTTGTTAACTACGATTGAATGTTTATGATCAATTTATACAAAGTTTTACTGAAAGAAAGATATAGATTTATATAAATTTCTTGTTTTGTTTTAAGAATTTGTATGTGACGGTGTAATAACTTTCTTGTATGAATCAGCAGCATTCTTGCAAACTTAAATTGCAAAGTTCAGTCAATTTTGCCAAAAAGCTGAATAAGAGGTGTGCAGTGGATGTTTGGAATTCCGTAACTGTTCGTGCAAGGACACCAAATCTCAAATGTTTATCTGCAAGGAAGCGAAAAGTTGCTCAAATATCGAAGTCGTTTCCTAAGCATAAAAACCCAGTGTTTGCCGTTCACGGCATTCTCAAGAATCATGATGCTTGTGGGCAGAACTCCACTTATTGCGGCATGCAAAGTGATAGTCAATCAAATCCTTGTGAGATTCAACATTCAGAAAGGCATGTCAGGTTTTCTGGAACGGATCACATACTTAGTCCAAGGAATAATGGAGTGTCTTCCTTTGAGAATAATTCAGATTCCTTTGCTAGTCCATCTGAGAAGGACGAGTATGCTGACAGTAATAAAGAAGCAACCCCCGTGGAGGTAGACAGAAGAGAAAATGATGTTTCAATTGGCATAGATATTGGAACCGAGTCTTGCAGTATAATCGGAAGGAAGGAATTGCCTCTAATTCCTGATCATGTTAATATTCCTAGTTTTCTGAGGCCACATATGACTCATCAAGAAAAAGTAAAGCATTTGCCAGATAAATCTGTGCCTTCAAGTAGTTTTGCGACTGAAGATAATAATTTAGGTATGTTCGACCAAGTCTACCCTACCCCCACACATAGACCTGCATATTCTGGCATTCCAAGACCGATTTGTTCTCTAGAAGAACCCTGCATAAGTACTCAAGGAGCTACTGTTTCCAGAGATTTTGAGCCCAGTGGAAAGATTGATTGTGTCGTACATCCTATGCACGGAGCTTCTGCAATGAGTTCAAAGGAAAATACTGGAGCATTTCCTGTCTCTTCTTCATCTAGTTTCAGTTTCAATGAGAATGCAAAGGGGAGGTTTCCGTTCCTGTCACAACCTGATATAGATAAATTCAGCGGTTGTGGTCTGCACTCCCAATCAGTATGTCCACCTGTGAACTTGATGGGTGGCTCATATCCCTTTCCGGAGTGGAAACAAAGAGCGGTTACATATAGGGAAAGGCGTGCAGATGAGGACTTTGTTGGTTTGCCTCTCAATTCACATGGTGAGCTAATCCAGTTGAGGAAGACGAATGCTATACCAGGGTTTTCCAGTGGCTTACCAATAGAGAATTTTACCCACTTAACGAGTATGAGTAGCTTACCAGCGCAGAATTTTACCTGTGTACCAAGTACGGGAGATTGTTCGACTCCATACAACAAGCATTTTTTGGAAAGAGAACTTCCAAATGACCGGTTGAACTTCTTTCCTATGCAGAATTATGTTAAAGAGAATCCTAGGTCACATATTCAAGATTTGTTTGGTGCTACTTACTTGCAAAATACTCAAAGAGCAGATATACATCAGCTTGATTTTGAGAGCAGAAGCAGCCACTCTTTTCGTCCACTTGTTTCAGACCGAAACCTGATGAATGTCTCTATCAGTGGACGCAGACAATTTGACCAGCTACAGAACCAAAAGATGCATGGAATGATCTCTACGGAAATTTCAGGCCACACACCATTGAATGCGAATCAACCAACAATGCGGTTAATGGGAAAAGATGTGGCAATTGGTAAAAGTAGCAAAGAGATTCAAGGGTTTGAGGATGGAAAAGTGTGGATGGATAAGGAAATTATAGCAGAGCATCGTTCTTCAAGTACTGCCTTGGATACTTTGTCGTTGAACAGGAATTTCCAGCAGAACTGGTTTCCATGCACAGCATTGGGAAAGCTGAAAGAACCTGCTGCGCAGTCATTTGAAATTCACAGAGAATATGCCCCACAACAAAATTTAATGATGAAAGCTCCAGAGTCTAGATTTCCCCACCCCTACCGCAACTGGCAAAGCAATTCCATGTTTGAAAATGGCAGCCTTACCGCCGACAGATGTCCAAGTTCTAATTTGATCCGTTTTTCTCAGTTGCCTGATTTGCCTGCAATGTTTAACGGGCCACCTAACTTCCGGGAGCAATTCATATCTGGAGCTGAATCTCTACAAACCCGACAGTTTGGCTCTCGACTACCAGTATTATCTGCTCCTCTGAATACTTGTGGGCATGGAGTTTTAGGACCTGCTGAACTCAATTACAAGCAGGATCCACCTTATTTTGCGAAATCATCAATCGGCTTGCCTATCCTGAATCCCAAATGTAGAGAAAAGAATGTGGAGTCATCGTGGTTTGAGAGCTCCTCTAAGGGCATGCCCCCTTGGTTGTTACATGCAACACTGCAAGTCCCAAATGCAGCTTCTCAATCTTTTCCAAATGTGGATAGCAGACACCATCAGCATATTGGGCCAACAGCTAATTTTTTTAGCACACATCATTCTTCGGAAATTTCTTATCCTCGCAATTTCTTGACCTCTCATTTTCAAGTGAGGGAGAATGCACCTACTCCAGCGACTACTGGTATTCCTCTTGCTCGAGCCATTCAAGGTGTAAATCCAAAACCAACCTCTGCCACCAACATGGACAGAAACAGAATCAAGATCAAGGATCCCTATCCCTTCAAGAAAACCAAGAGACCGGCTGTGAAAGCTGTAGATTCAACAAAGGCTCCCGACATGGTGCGCTTAGAAACGCAGGAAAAGTTGCGTACTGCTGCAGGATCATCAAGAAGGAACATTTTCGATGAAATGCAGTCTAATTTGAGAGCACTTGACCTTGACTCAAGTTGGAAGAAAGAAAGCGATTTGGGTTGCAGCCAACATGATTTTCAAAAGGCTAGATTTGAACCCTATGGAGTCGAGTCTTCCAAAACGGACAGCTTTGTGAGAAGTACAGGCCCCATTAAACTTAGTGCAGGAGCAAAACACATCATAAAACCCACCCCAAATGTGGATCAGGATAACTCCAGGTCAATCCATTCAACAATTCCCTTTGTTGCGGTAACTAATGGTTTCAGAGAACCACAACCTCAGAAGAAAGCAACAAAGATTTACAGGTTTTAGAAGTAAGTCTTTTAAACCGGTTATATTTTCCTTTCCGCCGCATCCATTTTTCTGTCAGATGCTTATAACGGTTTTGTGACTGCAACAGGTTCACTGCTTAGGTCAGGATACAGGAATGTTCATGTATGAATGCCAAAAGCAGCATAGTTCATAGGATTTTCGGTCGCTCCGCTTGCAGTAACACTAGTATGAATGCCAAAAGCAGCATAGTTCATAGGATTTTCGGTCGCTCCGCTTGCAGTAACACTAGCCAAATTAACTGTTGGAAACTTTGTATTTTCACATCTGTTTCTTAAGCCATGTTACTCTTCACGTGGGATCTATAAAATATGACCGTGTAATAGTAGATTATATGCTTTTTCCTACAATTTAATTTAGTTCTTTTCAGACTACATCCTTCTGGGTCTGAAATTCTACTGGGTGATTCCTGTTTTGTTGAGTGTATTAAAAAATTCTAGCCCCTTCATTAGCAGGGAAATTTTGGCCATTTTCCCCGAAGTTTTTGGTACTGTATGCAATGGAAATTTAAAATTTGTTGTATTTCTTCAAATTACACATTTTGGACATGCATTTTTTACTTACATTACCAAAGTGATCATGAAAAGAAGGTTAAGAGAATTAGAAAAGTGGGTAAACATAATTTTCCATTCATATAAACAAAATATATAAGACCATATGCCTATATACAAAGACTAGAATGCACATCTTCTCTATATGTTCGTAGCTTCATAGTTGCTGGATGGATCAATACCTCCTAGCTTCTCTTTCAGCCTGCAAAATCACACATTCATTAGTGAACTTAATCTTACCTAGAAAGACTTTAATAGATATTAATTCTTCTGTGATGATCGTCATTAGTGTTTGTACGTACTGCTTTGACGACTCTTTCTAAAGCTTCAACTCCATATTGATCGATGTAGCGTTCGACATACTTCCTTGCGTCGAGGCTCATCATTTGCAGGACCTTCTTCTGATTCGCTGGATAGTTTGAGCTCAAATGGTCTCCAAGCTTCACATACTTCCTCACAACGTTCTCATAAACATAGGCTGCCCCATTGAAAATTGGCAGCACCAACCACATGCAAAATAACAGCTTCATATAGGGCCATATTGGAATCCTATAAATGCCAATGTCCAAACAGATGTATAGTTTAATCAATAGTTTTATGAATAATTATTAGAAAAATGTGTATCAGAATAAAGGAAAATGATTTCCGAATTCTATTTTTCTCCTCATATATGCACTCATTTCTTTTATTTATTTGTCAGATTAAATAAATGGAATTAGAAAAAAACGACAGTGCGAAATCACCTCCCTAGAGTAAATGTGCATGCAGTGTTTTGTTGACATACCAAGCTAGTACTTTCCAGAAGGATAGTTCGAATAAGGTTATGAAAGAGTATATAACCCAATACGGTAGCCACTGCTGTTCGTCGAGTGCTGAGGGGCTCTCGATTGCTCTCATTGATGCATACCTGTTCATGCATGATTACGAAATGGAAAGAATAAATATATAAATAAGTTAATCACTCAATTCTAGCTGATTATTTCCCCTTTTCGTCGATTATTAAGAATTTACTTACAATGGATAAAGAAGCATCACTCCTGGCCTGCAAGAAGATCAAAAGCAAACATCTCAAGATTAATCTGTAGAAATGAAATATCAATTAGTAAGTTCCGGTTACGATAATCAAAATACACACACACACACACACACACCAAATCAAGATTAACATATAAAGATGAAGCAGTGCGTGCTTAATTATTATACGTGGCATGGAAATTGACATTTTTCAGACGAAGACACCATGCATATAAAACATTTTCTGCACTTTTTGTAATAGACATGCATGTCACATTAGTATCGATGTATGGAGGACATAATAATAAAACAATAACAAGAATAAAAACATATGATATTTTAGGTGTGTCTTTTGCAACATACCCGATTATTGTATCCAAATTTTTAGCAATGGCTCCAAGAACACCCATGCTGAAACACTACAATTTGATCTGGTTTGCCCGCTCGTTTCTTCTAACAAATTAACCCTGAAGTGTATGAATAATAATTTCCTGAGACAATGGTCGATGGTGGGAAGTACAAGTCGTGTATTTAAAGGTCTGTGGATTGTGAAGTTGAATTCATCATGAAACCAAAGTAAAGAATTATTGCCCCATCAAAGGGTTTTCTTTTGCTGATCTCAATTGCATTGGCATATATACCTTAGCTAGCTTTTCTTTCTCTTGAAACTTTATCTCCCTTTTAAAGCTACTTTTACGTGCGTTCATTAGCATCTTATAACATACACATTTCAGTTTTTCTTATTATTTATGACATAAATATTGGTTATAAAGAAGAATTATAATTACAAGGATTTTTATTTATTAGAGATGCATTCATAAATTAAAGGCTTTGAAAAACCAAGACCCCAAAGATCACAAACTTCATGCTGCAACCTCATGAAATTTTATTGATTCGTCCTCTAATGTTTAATACGTTGCATGTTTAAATATATATATATATATATATATATATATATATATATATATATATATATATATATATATATATGTGCATGATAGAGTTAATAGATGTATGGATTTAATTAGTACAATAAAATGCACGTTACTAGAATATCATGACTCAAAAAATGCACTCAATTACTGAAGAAGTTTTGCATATGAAAATGTATCTCTTGATTTAGAGAAAAACATATATTTTTATCACAATCACATTCAACCTCATATACTGATTAGGTGATTAGTTTTAATGTGCATAAGTTAACCCCAAAAAAAAGTGCATAATTACATTTGATATATATTTTACTTTAGGAAGAAATAAATAATGGAAAAAGGGGATTAAAAGTTGGTAAAATAGAGAAAATAAAAGCAGAGGAAACCCTAAGAGCAGTTCCACCGTGGGAAATGCCCCCCCCCAGACAATACACTATGCTATCCACCCAGTGAACAATAACTATCCTTAATGAATAATAACCACCTTTTGCATCTCCACCGTTGCACTTCAATAGCCCTGACAATAGCCAATAAAATATTACTATTTTTTTTATTTATAATTAATATTATATTATTTACTTTGTATAAATTAATATTATATTATTAATTATATTAATATTATAATTAATATTATATCTTTCTCCTTCTTCCTTCTTATCTGCAGATTTCCTTCTTCCTTCTTCTCCAATTATGTGTCTTCTTCTTCACTTCCTTCTTCCTTATTTGTTTGTTTATTGGAAAACTTCTTCAATTATGCATGTTCTGCATCTTCTCCGACAACCATCTCCGAGGAAGTCACGGCGCCGGCTTTGGGAAAGCACGACGCCTGCTCCAGGAAAGCCCACGATGCCGACTTGGCCTTTAAAGACGACGGAGCTTCCAAGGACGACCGAGGTCGAGTAGCTATAAGGTTGAGGCCCAGAAATGCAGAGGAGATGATGGCTGACGTTGCCCTGCGTCATGGCCTTCGGGCTCTCAGGCTGGCAACTCCTGCTGGGCCTCTCCCTCAGGCCCGTTCAGGCTCCATCGCCAGCACACACTGGACCTCCCCACTCGAGCTCTCTGGCCCTGTTTGAGAGCCAGTCCATCGGGCAATAACCCATGGTGGAACTACTCTAAAGGTGGAGTTGGAGCTGTGGAGGTAATAAAAAGCGACAACATATCAAGGCACGTGAGAGTAGGGCCTTCCTTAATAATTCCAAAAGCTTTCATCATTACATGTACTTTGTCCATTCATCAACTTTAACTTGATGTAACACCAACATGTTATGTCATGTAAGACCCAAATCTCACAACACCGTCCACTGTCGGAGGCCTAAGAGCTGGAAACCAAAGGGCAACACCTGAGTTTGTGGCTATGGTTCTCCCAAATATTAAACATCCAACTAAGAATTTGCACACACGTTCAATTTTTGAGTTGTAAATTCTTCTCTTCTCCCTCCCAATGAAGAAGTACCAAATAGGGTTTGGGTGCCAACTAAAAGAAGAATGAAACAAACGAGTAGTGAAGTTCAGTTGGCGTTTTGCATGTGAATTTTCATAATTTTCCTTGAAAGCATCATATAGCAAAGCGGAAGAAGAGAGAAGGATATAAACGGAAAAAGGAGGAAGACAAAACGGTGTCTATTGCATCTAACAAATGAAAAAGAATGCAATTATTCAAAACTGTACCATCTACGTGAGCAACTAAGATTAATTGGTCATCAAGCTCCTCATATAAAGGATCCAGAGAGGATCTGAGTCCTCTAGTGCGTGGCAGCCACTCGATCTTCATGTTTGAGACATTTTTCACTTTTCCTTTTTCCTATTTTGTCAAAATGCATATTTGATCATAATTGGGTTACGTATATATGTATTTGATCATAATATGTTTGTCAATATAACTTATTTTTGAAGTAGAAATTAGAATGTATTCTATAACATATAACTTTTGTATGTAAAACAATGTTAAAATTTGAAAACGCTTTCAAATCTTTAAAGAATAGCACTCTCAAACGAGCTTTCTATCTTATTCTTTAACTTTCGTGATATATTTTGAAAAATAAATTTCTAAAATGAAGATTCGATTCTTGTTAAATGCGATGTTGAACCATATTATTATGGCAGACTCATTGTAAGGCTTAGTCAATTCTCACATCCCGTTAATATAGATACTTTTGTTTGTTAAAAAAGAAATAAAAAATAAAAAATAAAAAATAAAAAATAAAAAAATAAAAAAATAAAAAACCACACACAAAAGGGTGGATTAGTAATTGAATTAAAGTCCTTGCTTCGTTACCACTTCCCAGTTACCACTGCTGCGCGCCTTCTTACCAAATTGTTCTCCCGCTTCCATATTTGTCCACACTGCCACTCTCTCTTTCTCAGACAAAACAACCCGCAAACCCTAACCCTAGCGACCCCAATTCTCCTCCGCTCCCTCGCAAAGTCGGCGTCTTTCAGCGTCTCCCTCAACTGTACGTCTCCAAACCCTAATCTCACCATCTCTCCTCTGTTAATTTTGAAACATTTCGTTTTTCTTTTTTCGGGTTTGAACCCTAAATTGGGTCCGAGTCCGAATGCAATTTGGGGCTTATTTGGTTCTTCGTTTGTTGTGGATTCCTGTATTTATTTATTTATTTAAATTTATATTGGGATTCCTATCCGAGAACCGCAATTGAGTTCTAAAGTGGGCCCTTTGACCTGTACGGATGGGACCCGCTTGGAGTCCGGGTTGGGTCAGTGGGTTCTGGAATCCGTCTCCGATCCGGCCATTTCCAGAAGCTCGTCTTTCCCAGCCTAATTTTAGCCCTTTCTGAAATCTGAAATGCCCGACCCGCCTTCTCTCTCCTCATGGACCCGGTTCAATCTCGGGTCGAATTTCAAGACCAGACTAAATGTAATGTTTGCTGATAGCAGAAAGCAGAAAGATGCCTTCTTTCTCTCTCTTTTAGTAAAGAATTAGGCATCTTGATGTAATTATGGATTTGTTGCAAACCCGTAAATTTTTGAATTTATGATGCTTGTCATTGTAAATTTTCGAATGCATGTTTGCTATGCAGATTGCGTTACTTGTAGAATGTGCTTGCACCGATGTCGTAGTTATTTTACAACAACCCTTGTTTGGATTATGGTAGAGAGTGAGTCTTCCTGTACTGCATTGTATGTTCTGCAGTTGGCAGGGATGATGCCTTGCTTAATGGTTCATACCCATCAGTTGTTGTAAAACTATCGATTAACTCCTCTCCTCAATCCAACTATTTGTTGTGTGTTTTATTGAGATGACTGTGCACATTTCTGTCCTCAACACATGTGAATTATAACACTCTGGAGTAACCTTTACAATTAATGCCATTTTTCTGCTGAAAAGAAGAGAAGTACATCAGTCATCATCAATCCAAAAAGCTAAATCGAGATTTGTGTTCTTTGAACTGGTTGATGTTGTATTTACACGGCTCAAATCGTGTTTCTCAATTGGGTCATAACATTTCCATATGATACGCCTGTTCCATTCTGTTAGTAGTTCCTTTTCTTTTGCTGTCTAGCTAAGCCTCTTTGAACTGGTTGATGTGTTTTTTTTTTTGAGAAATTTGTTACTTTACAACCTGCACAACTTATTACTTCAGTTAATTTTGCACCTCAACATATATTTTATTTAGTGTCAGCATGAGTGTAGGGCATTTGGATAATTGTTTTACCAATTTTACCTATACAGATATGCAACTCTCATGCGTTTGTAAGATTTGCAGTGCTGTCACTTTACATTTTTGGGTTTTGACGCATAAACAGAAGCCTGCCACTATTTTTTTGTCATGTAATTGTTAATCATAACTATGAGACTATTATTAATCCTTTTAGATTGTTTCAACTTCTGTTGTGTGAAAATGCACGGGCAAACATTTGTAATGTTTTTCTTTTTAAATAAAAAAGCATATGTTGTCTTATGAAATTTTTATTGAGGGAGAATTGATAATTTAAGAAAGGTTGGTAGTCATATCTTTGAGTCGACTTCTTGTTTTGGTTTTTTCTTGTCCTTTTGGGTTAGTAATCCTGCTACTAATAATATATATATATGTATATACATTTTTTTTTTGATGTGCAGGTACTGGTGAAGTACTAAGTCAATGCAATGGATATGTCCAATGCGGTGAACATCAAATCATCCAGATTAAAATCTGTCGTGTGGAATGACTTTGATAGGATTAAATTGGCTGATAACACATGTATTGCTGTTTGTAGACATTGTAAAAAGAAACTCAGCGGATCAAGTACCAGTGGGACATCACATTTGAGGAATCATTTAGTTAGGTGTCAGAGAAGATCTAATCTTGGCATACCTCAACTCTTTGCAGCAAGAGGAAAGAGAAAGGAAGGGACTTATTTCAACTTGAATCAACGGCAGAAAAAGGATGAAGTTATTAACCTTGTGAATATTAGGTTTGAGCAAGAGCAGACAAAAGATGACATCATTAACTATGGAAGTAATAACTTTGATCAAAGGCGGAGTAGGTTTGATCTTGCCCGAATGATTATTTTACATGGGTATCCCTTGGATATGGTTGAGGATGTTGGATTCAAAGTGTTCGTTAAGAATTTACAGCCATTATTTGAGCTTGTTACATCTGAAAGAGTTGAGGCTGACTGTATGGAGATATATGTGAAAGAGAAGCAAAAAGTGAATGATGTGTTGGATAAATTGCCTGGTAGAATCAGCCTTAGTGCGGATATGTGGGCTTCTTTGGATGGTGCTCAGTACTTGTGCTTGACAGCACACTATATTGATGAGTCTTGGCAGTTAAAGAAGAAGATTTTAAATTTTATTGTCATTGATTCTTCTGATACAGAAGACAAGCATTCAGAAATTATCATGACATCGTTAATCGAATGGGATATTGACCGTAAGTTGTTTTCTATGACATTTGATAGTTATTCCACTAACGACAACATAGTCATTAGAATCAAAGACAGGCTGTCCCAAAACAAGTTACTTTATTGTAATGGTCAGTTATTTGATGTACGTTGTGCAGCAAATGTTCTTAATATGATGTTTCAGGATGCCCTAGAAGCACTTTGTGAGATTACTGATAAAATTCGAGGAAGTATACAGTATGTCAAAAGTTCGCAAGCAGTACAAGCAAAATTTGACGGGATAGCTCAACAAGGTGGAGATCAGAGTAAGAGATTCTTATGCCTAGATAATCAAATGCAGTGGAACTCTACATATGTTATGCTTGAAATTGCTTTGGAGTACAGGGAAGCATTTTATCTTTTGCATGCAAATGACGTTGTCTACACAATGTGCCCATCTGATATTGAATGGGATAGAGTTAGTGTCATTACGAGCTACTTGAAGCTCTTTGTTGAGGTTACCAATGGTTTCACAAAATTCAAGTCTCCAACTGCAAATTTGTATTTTCCTGAGCTTTGTGAAGTACACTCGCAGCTGAATGAGTGGTGCAAGAATCCAGATGATTATATCAGTTCTCTCGCTTTTAAGATGAGAAGCAGATTTGAAGAATATTGGCAGAGATGTAGTTTGGGTTTAGTGGTTGCAGCGATATTAGATCCTCGGTTCAAGATGAGAGTGGTAGAGTATTATTATGGGCAAGTTTTTGGCAGTGGCGCTCCAAGCCGGATTTCTGAGGCTATTGAGTGTGTCAAGGCACTGTATAATGAACATTCAAACTGCTTAGCTTCCCTTGATCAAGGTGTGGCTTGGCAAGTAGGTGATGGTTCTCACTTGCCCGGTTCTGAAAGGGAGTCAGGGGATAGGCTGAGTGGTTTTGATAGATATATAGAGGAAACTAATGAGGCTGATGGAACAAAGTCAGATTTGGACAAGTACTTGGAGGAGCCTGCCTTCCCCCGTCATGCACAGGGATTTGACATATTAAATTGGTGGAAAGTTCATGCTCCTAGGTACCCTGTCCTATCTATGATGGCTCGCAATGTGTTGGGAATTCCTGTGTCAAAAGTTGCGATGGACTCAGCATTCAACACCGGAGGAAGAATGCTCGACCGTGATTGGAGTTCCATGAACCCAGGTACCGTCCAAGCATTGATGTGCGCACGAGACTGGATACGAAGTGAACTAGAAAGTTAAATTAGGTCAATTTTGTTTCCTTTTAACTACATTTTCGAGATAGATCTTTCAGGTATTCCTGTGCAAATTGGAAAGCCAAATTGTATGGGCCTCGTTTCAGTTCTTCTTTCATTAGGTCTTTCCATCTCTCAGTAAACTCCTCTCCTGGATTATTCCAGATATTGTACATAGAACTGAAATATTATGTCTTAAATTTTACAGAGCTGGATTCTGATGTTAGCGTTTCTATTCAAATTGAAGTTACAAATATTTTTTGCACTCATGATTGTTTAGACCATATGTTTAGTAATGATAATTTAAAGTTACCTTTTGGTTGTTGCAAAGCGAACTTGGCATTTTCAGTTTGTTTATTTATTTATAAAGGGACATGATAAACGCACACCTTGTTTGTTTAATCTTGTTCGTTGTTTTCGTTTGATTTATTTGATCTGACAGCCAGAAATAAAAAGAGGGGTGTTAGGGACTAAAAATAGTGTGGAAATCACTTCTTTATAAATATAAGTTGATATTGGAGAAAGAGAAATTGAACTCATGATCTCGGGTGGAGGAATGGATGTCGCCCTAAGCCCCTAGTCCCATTAATGTGAATAAGAGGTAGACAATTTGGCAGGTTATGCATGATTTAAGAGACCGTATGCCTCTCCATGGTAAATGGTTTACTGCTTATAATTAAACTTCTAACTGGTGTTGTAATTGAAGTTCTGAGCCTTCTGGCTTAAGAAATGTGCTTTTCTGAAAAGCATTCTGACCACACTTTGGAACTTGCTTGCTTTCTGTATAAGCCAAAAGAAAGAAAGAAGTGAACAGATTATGGTGTGTTTGCCTAGTTCATGGATAAGCCTTTATTCAATCAAACATACAATCTTCAAAAGTAATAAATTCCCTGCAGAATGGGGAAAGAACAACAACATAATAAATTCCAAAACCAGAGCCAAAACAACAACAGAAAACAAAGCTCAACTCAACTCAACTAAAACATGACCTACAAACAAATTAAGCTTCACTTGTTTTGTGGAATAAAAGATATGCATATGTTTACAAAATCAAGTGGTCTTTGAGTAAGGATGTGAAGAACTGTTTCACATTGGAAAGTTGGGAAAAGTGACCTTGGAAGGGCTTGATAAGGTGTTGGGTCACTTCCTCTGTTGCCAACTAATTTTTAAAATGGAACGTCAACTTTGTTTATAATATCAAAACAATTAATAGTTTGCTCACGTGAAGTTTGGCTAAAATTACCAGTAACCTTCCATTGAAAATAAGCCCAATGAGCCCATATTTTCAGAAACCACAGAAAAATAATTGTTCTCTATCCATAACTGGTTTTGCTTCTTTGAAGAAACAAAAGCCCCTTTTCTTGTTTGGTAGGAAAATTTTAGCTGGCTTCAATTGGGAATAAATTCACCATGTTATTTTTTTACCATACATTATTCTAATTTCAGACACCATTTCCACAACATTGTGCTACAAAGGACTTCATAATTTCTCACAGGAGTAGGATTCTCTCCTTTCCTATTATCATCCCCTTCTCTTCCCTCCTCTCACATATTGTTTTTTGTTTTATTGTCTCAATAAAAAAATCAATATAAGATGTTGACGTGATTAAATCGTAACCGTTCAAATAGAAAGGGAAGGAAGAAGAGAGAGATTAGAGCACTTCCACCGTGTGCTCTAGCCTGAGGTACAGGCACAAGAACATGGCCAAAGAGCCGGAGTGATGAAGCCCAACGTGTGTTAGTGATGGAGCCCTGAGCAGGCCCAAGGGAAAGGCCCAGCAGGAGTTGCTAGCCCCAGAACCCAAAGGCCACGTGACGAAGGCTGACGTCTCCATAGCCTTTTCGACCCTGTCCAATCAGGAGCTCATTGGCAGTGACGGAGGCCTCCAAGCAGGTGCTAAAATGGCGCCGCCACGGGGGTTTGAGAGCGAAGTAGCAGATGGGTCGAATTATAGGAGGTAAGAGATTCATTCTCTCGTTGTTTTAATCTCTGCAAGTAAATTCTCAAGCTTTTAGTTTCTGGGTTTTGCGCTTTGCAATCTACTCGGGATTATTCGCTGTAAAACCCTCAATCCGTTTCGGATCGATGAGAAAATTTGAACTTTGAAAACCAGTCAAGGAGGAGTTTCAGTTCAACTTTTTGATTCTGCAAGGGAGCTAATTGCAGCTTATGCATGGAGCTTTTCGAAATGGAGGAGACGGGGTTGGAGGCTTTGAAAAATGTGGAGGCTGAGTGGGATTAGAGGATTAGAAGAGATGGGTTTTTGAAATCTGTTGCACCAATTGGGAGTATTTTGCTGTATCAGGAGATTTGTTATTTTGTATTATTTTATAAATAAAAAATACTAATATTTTATTGTGTATTGTCAAGGCTATTTACGGTAAGGGTGGAGATGCAAAAAGCAGTTACTGTTTATTGGGTGGATTAAATAGTAAATAGTCCGGAGGGGCCTTTGAAACTATGGAGTTTCTCTTAGAAGGGGAGAGAATCATTCTCCTTCTTTGGCACAAGACAAATGACATCATCTTGTGATCATCACTATAACAGCCACAAGCATCAAATCTCAAGGATGTGAAATGTTTTGATCAAGGTTTTTAGTACGCATCAATGTATATATAATATATACTGAGATCTTCACTGTTGGATTCTTTGTTGTTTCTTATCCGCAAATCAAATCATTCATTCATCAAGTACATGTCATGGTAGAGGTTTTTTGTATTGAGTACTTTGTTTTCCAATAGTTGAAATTACCACTTTCATTCACATAAAAGAATTTAGTAGAATTTTGATATTTGGTTGTTTAGGCATTGCCCATTTTTTCTAAAGAAGCCTAATTTTTTAGGAAATGTTCAAATCCATACCAAACCCAGCTTGTAAATCGTATCATTAATTTTGTACCAAGGTCTTTACAGTTCTTCTGGCATACATGTAAAATGAAATTATCAAAATTAGAAGAAAAAAGCACAATGTCCTTGCAAGTTTGTTGTCATATAAATTATACTTCAAGCATTCAAATTCCTCTTTTATGTGGTGGGAATGTGACAGGGTATGTGGCATTTATGGTATTAGGAATAAGCATTGAAAACCTCAGCTTCTTTCACCATCATTTCCAACTTCAAATGTAACATCATTGTAGCATCATCTTGGTCCCTCTCACTCTTCACAATATATCATTGAGAACTTTAACAAAAAATTTCCGGTATTGTTCATTTTAACGAAAAATCACATTTTTACACTAAAAAGTCAATCCTGGTACTATTCACTTTACTCTTTAATTTGTCATTATCGTTAAAACTCAAAGTTTTCAAGCATTTTTCATTAGTTTTTCTTATATCATTCAATATATAATTATTTATAAATCTTACAAGAGAAATTATACATATACCCTTTCTATCCCCTTCAAAATATATTTGTATGTTGGTTTTATTGAATTTATTCAATTCGATGACCAAAATTAAAGAGAAGTGTGTAGAAGAAGAAAAAAGTGGGGTTTGTCTTAGGTACTCCAGCTTACCAGGTAATCTAACATTTAAACAATCTTCACTGTTTGATATCTTTGAGTCAAATTTTTATTGTTCACTTTTTAGACTACTTAATAATTCTGAACTATTGAAGAAAAATTAAAAAAAAAAAAAAGTGTCTAGTTATCGTTTGCTTTTTACAGTGCATGATGCATTATGGCTTGTACACCATATTGCGTTGGTTCTATCTCCCCCCCCCCCCCTCTCTCTCTCCTCCAATAGAAAGAAAAAGAAAGTAAAAGGTCATCCTATATAACAATGCGTCCTATTCAGCTTTGCCAACTTTTGCTTTGCCCACAACTTGCACCTAAAATGACATGGGAGATGTTGTGCATAAAATCTCTGTGGAAATGATGCTTGCCATTTTGTGATAGTGATACACACTTTAAACAAGTCGTGAATTTTGTTGCGATTACTCGTGAGCGACCGCAAAAATATAGGAAATTAAGAGCGTGAAGAATCTCGTACGACTTCAAGTTGGTCGAAACTTAGGGTTCATTCTTTTGTGCGTGCAAAACGGTGTAAAAAGAAAACCATTCTTTGGCTCCTTATAAGTATAGAGTCATTATGTTATTTTTATTATCAATCACAATCTCTAAAAAAAAAAAAAAACAGTCACAATCTCCACATGTCCATACTATGAGGATGTGAGGAAACATCCTTCATCGAAGTTTACAAAATCTTACAAGTCCTTATAAGAAGTTGGACCGCTCCAAATGGTTTTATAATAATTAAAACATCAATTTTTTTATAGTATTAGAGCATGTTGGCTCATGCGTGAATTTCAATGGCCACATGTATTCAATGCCACCCTATTTTTATTGTTCTCGTGTTGTATACGTGATGGGGAGTCAGAGAATGTGAAGAGATGTTCCACATCAGAATTTTATATAACAAACCTTGCATGTCCTTGAGCAAACAAAGTTCAACCGTATAACCAAGGGGATACATTATACATAAGATGATGTGATTATTTAGAAGAACTTCAATATATAGTGAAGACATATATATATATATATATATAGTTAGCTTGAAACAATATGCACCAAAAAACACTTATGCATAAAATCAAAGCCATCCCATAAAACGATCTCATGTTTGGTTGTGTTACACTCTATGTACAAATATTGGAATACAAAATTCAAGAAAAATAGCACGAAAATGTAGTTGGGAGGAAATTACTTACGTTCGGTCATGGTGTTAGAGATCAGAATTTATGAGCTTTCATACATGCACAACAATTATGGCCTTGTACTACACATGTATCATGGCAATATATTTGTTTAGATATGGTTTAATATGAAATCATATCTTACTAGATTAGGGTTAGAATTAGGATGGTGGCTATTAATGCTACGAGGAAACATCACTTGTATGTTTGTTAGCTTATGTAATACTTACCGATCAGGTCCATGCTCCAATCAAAGTAGTAACTGCTATATATAGCTAGGGCTAACTAATTCAGATCCTTCTGGATACATGCCATGATATCCTACAAAATCCTGCATCGTAGAGATTGATCGATCCATATAGTCTTGCATTGCCGGTCATGTCAAATGCGTATAATATTTGCACATATGTGATTATATGTAATACAAGACTACATGAGAAATATCAACTGTGTACATTTCAGCATGATAAGTTGAAGCAGTAAGAGCAATTCCACCCATTTTAAAAGGGTAAGGGTAAGGTAAGGGCAATGAAATTGTCCTTAATATTCACTTTAAACACTAATTGCCTTTGTGTAAGTCCACTTGTTTGGGAAGAGAGAGGGTAAGGACAAATGAGATTACTTTTCACATATATATTTTTTATTTTTTCTTTATGTTTTCTTGGCTTCATCCTTCACATATCATTAATTATTTCTTGAATAAAGTCTAATTTAATAAATTATTTCAAATACAAGAAAAAAAAAGCATAGCATTACAACAAACATAATTAATTTTAACCTAGGGGATAAAATTAGTGCGGCTCCGTCCGTCTTCCCTTAGAGTATTGAACTTCCTCATCTTCTGTGGTAAACCTTCTTCTTATGATGCGATTATTTTCACTTCTCCAAAAATATTTTGAATTAGGAGACTCATCCTCGAGGCATCAGGACATGATCTCCCGATTCTTCTCCTCTTGCCTTTCTTGCCTAGTTAACTCCCTTTTTCTCGCTTTTCATCTCTATCTGTGTCTTGCTCATATGTTAACCTGTCTCATTCCATATTCATTGCATATTGACAAGCCAATTCGTCAACAAATTTTGAATAATCATTATTTGAAGAACTCCCTATTGCACAGCTTTTTCCTTAGTACCCTTCTTACCAATAAGCCTCAAGGTTTCTTCAGTTTGTGCGACCGATTCAATTAGGGTCTCCAATGGCGACTCTTCAGTAGTTTATTCTTGCAATGGAGTCTTATTCAACTGAACTTGTGGACCAATATGTAGAACTTTGTCCTTCGGAGTATGCTTTACAATGTTCCAACTTTTGTGTCTTGTGAATGGTTTTCTTGTTATCAAGATTGAACCACATTTGAGCTTGTACTAGTTGCTAAAAAAAAATTGTAAAACAACATAAAGATTTATTAATAATAAAATACTATAACCACATTGGCTAAATTGTTTCCACTTTGATAAATTCCTTCTTTTGCAAGGGCTTCTTACCAAGCTTTCAAATATTTATGCCAATGTTTATACCTACTCGACAAATTGTGCGTGAATCTTATTCCACATGTGCCGCATCCTCATCTCATTTCATGGGATCGAGTCATGAATAACAAGCATCCAAGCCTGAAGCAAAGCAACATCTCCCCAGTTGACCAATTTGACTTCTCATAATTTTTTATTTTTTGTAACAAAAGGATTTGGAATGTAGAAACCAAATATAGGAGATGGTAGTAAAAATAAATATTGAGTTGTGGTGTAGAGAATGAAAAATATTATTGGAAATTTACAAAAAAAAAAAGGGATTTTTTTTGTTTTCTTTTTGGATTTTTTACTGTTAGAGTAACCTTGGTCATTGATTTTCAAAATTAATATCGTTGGATGCCCAGGATCTTGCCACGTGGTACCTTTAGTTAATTAATCTCATGTAGCCATAGTTCTTCACAAACAACACTAGTGCACCAAAAGGGGAAAATTCTAGGTTGTATATATGAATCCATTATCCGTTAACTTTTGTAATTGAGTCTTCAATTCCTTCAACTCGGCTGGCACCATCTATACGTTGTGTGAGAAATAGTTGTGCACAAAGTGGCTTAATAGCAAAATTAAGCACTCACTTAAAAGGCAACCCACAAAACTCCTGCACTAAAGGAATGTCCTCAGTGTTGGAGCTTAAAAAGACTTCACTACTTTGGAGATGTTTATCTCACAAAGAAGAATGTAATGCAGTGGAATTGATAGGCAAGAGAAAGAAAGAATACTCAAAGTGTTACACAATATTTTTATTCACTCACAAACTTAGTACAAGAGGAAACACTCAAACACTCTTAGAAGCTTTGTTGCTTCTTCTCACTTCTCACTTGGCACTCTCACTTCTCACTACTTGCTCTCTTGGTTGTTACAAATGGTGTGGATGCCTTCTCCTTTTATAGGCATGGATGGAACCTTGGAGAATCATGGAAGCATCATACTAGAGATATCTAGATAATTCCACTACCTTCCTAATCTAGAATTATCTACACTAAATCTTGTGTTTTGGTGGAATCTCACCATTCTTCTAGACTCTTCCACCAACTTGAACTTTGCTAGAATTCTCTAGCATGTGCATGGATTTTTCTTTGTGCATGGGCT